TAGACTCCTGGCCTTAAGCGATCCTCCCTCCTCAGCCTCCCAGAGTGCTGGGATTACACCACACTAGCTTTTTTTTTTTTTTTTTAATATTTTTGATTCATAGTTGGTTGAACCCACGGATGTGGAACCCGTGGGTACGGAGGGCCTACTGTAAGTTGAAGAGATGTCTGCACTCCCATGTTACTGTGGCACTGTTCACAGTAGCCAAGATAGAGAATTAACCTAAGTGTCCATCAGCAGATGAAGGGTTAAAGAAAATGTGGTAAATATATACAATGGAATACTATTCAGCTTTAAAAAAAAGGAGGAAATCCTGTCATTTACAATGTGGTTGAACTTGGAGGACATTATACTAAGTGAAATAAGGCAGTCACAGAAAGACAAATACTACCTGATCCCACTTATGTGTAGAACCTGAAAGACTTGAACCCATAGAAGTAGAGAGTAGAATGGTGGTCACCAAGGCCTGGGGGTGGGAGGACTGAGGAGATGTTCAAAGGCTACAAAATTTCAGTTAGGAATAAGTTCATGAGGTCTATTGTACAACATGGTGACTATAGTTAATAACAATGTATTATATTCTTGAGAATTGCTAAGAGAGTAGATTTTAAGTGTTCTCACCACAAAAAATAAGGTCTTGAAGTAATGCATATGTTAATTAGCTCAATTTAGCCCTTCTACAATGTATACAGGTACATGATAGATGTAATTTTCTATTTGTCAATTAAAATAAATAAAATGCTTTTTAATTTAATAAAATCTGTTTTTGGAAAAAACATTGTAGGATCAATGCTGAAATCTGAATATGGACTTTGCATTAGATGGTAGTATAGTATCCAATTTAAATTTACTGAATTTGGCCAGTGTTCTGTGGTTATTAAGAGAATTTTTTTGTTTTGTTTTGTTTTGTTTTGGGTAGCGTCAGCTATTTATTTAGCTCACGACAGGCAAGGCCACCTTAGCCTTGCCCTGGATCACCTAGTTCTTATAATGACCCTGTGAGGTAGCTACTGTCTCGCCCCATTTTGCACAAGAGGAAACTGAGGCACAGGGAGGTTGTGTCACTGGCCCAAGGTAGAACAGGAAAGAGGCTTGGGGCCAGGAAGTCAGCTGCCTGCCCTCGACCCCAAGCAGAAGTGGGGCCGGGCTCCAAACCTACTCTGCTCCAGGGCAAGGTGTCACACAGGGAAGGGACCTGCACCTTAGAAAGGGACTGAGGGAACTCAGGGTCCCAAGAAGTTCCCAGACAAGGGCCAAGATCACCCAAGATGTGCCCTCCCCGCAGGCCTCAACCTACCTGAAACACAACAAGTACCAGCAGGCGGAAGAGTTGTACAAAGAAATCCTCAGCAGGGAGGACCTGCCCGCCCCTCTTGGTGAGCCCCTGCCCGGCCCTCCCCTAGGTAGCTTCTGAATGTCCCCACCTCACTGTCCCCCATTTGTTGTTCTAGGAGCCTCCAACAGAGCCGGTAATGCAGAACAGCAGGTGACGCTGGGCTTGGCTTCAGCTCCCGAGGTGGGGACTGGACAGGCCTCAGGGGCACTGACCAGTGTCCCCGGCCCCTCCCCAGACCCTTCGTCGTAGCAGCTCCTTCTCCAAGCTCCTCAAGTCCATCCGGCGTGGAAGTGAGAAGCTGGTCTCCTGCCTCTGAGGCGAAGGGGTGGCGGGCACAGCCGGGTGAGTGTCGGATCAAAGGACCCTGACAGATACCAGAGCCCACCCACCACTCAAGAACCTTCCATGGCTCTCTTCACATGTACAGATCAAACCTGGCACTGGAAGGTCCTTCCCAGAGTGGGAGCCAGACCTTCCTGGGATTGATTCGTTCCCCTCGTGCCACCCTCTTTCGCAGAATGAAGAGAGCCATGTCACTCAACATGCTGAACGTGGATGGCCCGAGGGCTGCTGGGACTCAGGTGAGAGGGATGGATGGGGCAGGGGGAGTTAGGAGAGGGCAGGTTGGAATATGGACCCCTGGCCAGGATAACAGGTGGATTTTACTTGGGGTAGAGGCAGGGGGGTGACACACTGCTGTCAGGGTGGCGACAGAGCTGTGTCTCACCTTGTAGAATAAGAGTAGAACAGGAGACTATCCTTGTTCATAGGAGATACATCAGGAAAGAGGAAAAGGTTATGGTATCTGCAACCTTTTCTTCAATAGTTCAATAGCACTAATAGTATTAATAATAATATGTATGTATGTATATATATTTATATGTAGATAGAAAGGGATGGCACTAAGGCAAATATGGCAGAGTGAGAATCTGGAGGAAGAGTGTATGAGAGTTCATTGTACTATGCAATTCTTTAAATTTTTCAAAATAAAAAATGTATTATACACACACACACACACACACACCTGCAATGTTGTTAGGAAAAATAACTTAGGCTTGGTAGTTGCTTGAATGCATACAGCAAAGAAGAGTGAAAATTTCCTGGAATGGAAATTACACCTTTGCCCTCTACTACAAACACGATGTACTTATATAGCCCCAGCAAGGTTCATGTGTGAGATGGAATTAAGCCAACTGAGGAAATTATGCTTT